CAGGCAGACAGGAGAGCATTGCAACATACAGCCAGGGGCCCACTTTCTAGAATCATGTGACTCTATCTCACACATATGAGACATAGGGTCATTGTGAAACAAAAGATAATCCATGGGAAGTACTAAAATTCTGACTCCGGCACCACATAAATGTTAGCTACCAGCAGCGGCAACAGTTAAAAATGGAATGATTGTTAAAATCTCTGCATTTGCAAACAAGAAGGCAGATGTTCAAGATTAAGTGGCAGTGATTATGCTTAAGTGACAGATCTTAGGAGGTGGAACTATTCACAATGCACTTAATTTGGCACCAAATCTCACCACACACGTCTCTATTCCACACTTGAGCAGGGTCTCAAGCTGATGCAAACCATGAATTTTAAGGCCAAACAGATCGATTCTGTTTCTCTAAATGTCTGAGCTAATTTTCTAAAATAGGTTTCCTAGACCAAAGGTTTCCCAGAAACATTCTAAATGACAGAATGGAGATGGGGAATTAGAAGATTAGCAGTTATGTCTGGGTTTGATTGCAAATTCAACTGGCTACCTTTCAGTCAGTCAGATTTTGAGACATCTGTTCCCTCAAACATAACATGGGGACGACTGTTTGCTTTCTTAAATCCAAGATAGCGTAAGAGGGAAGGACAACTTGCAGACTTGAGGAAGGACTCCAGACCAAGTCAGATGTTGTATCTGGTGCTAATGGGCTCCCCTATTCCTAGTACTCTAAACTGTTAGTTCAGGTCAGGGGTTCAGGGATGGTGAGAGGATTTACCACACACAGAGGGGGGAGCAAATCAGGCAGATAGATGAAGTCCACTGCTGAGGGGAGCAGCGGGCGGGTCAGGAGGGGTCTGCCACAACATGTGGGTCACCTCCGGGGCAGACGGGGATCCAACTCATGTGGAAGTGGCTTTAGCTTCTTAGTGCAGTGCTTTAACCCACTGCGCAACCAGGGAGGGCCCTGTCCTCTTTATTTCAATTAACATAAAGTTAGTCCCTAATCAGATGCTCTTTGAGGGTGAATCAAACTGGAGTATAAAGAAAGAGTATCACAAAAAAAAAAAAGAAAGAAAGAAAGAAAGAGTATCACAGCAACACCATCTCAGAAGTGTTGCTAAGTGCTTATGATGGTTAATTTTGTGTGTCAGCTTCACTGGCCTATGGGGTACCCAGCCATTTGGTCAAACATCATTCTGGGTATTTCTGTGAGAGTTTTAGATGAGATTAAGACTTAAGTTGGTGAAATTGAATAAGCAAATTGCTCTCTCCAGTGCTGGTGGTCCTCCTCCAATTAGCTGAAAGTCTAAATAGAACAAAAGGTTGACCCTGTCCTGAGTAAGAAAGAACTCTCCTGTTTCAGGCTGGGGGCTCAACTAGGATACCGGTTCTGCAGACTCACCAGTCTCCATGAGTCAATTCCCCATAATAAATTCTCTCCTCCCTCCCTCCCTTCCTTCCTACCACCTAATCTCTCTGTCATATATATGTCTTCTATCTGTTCTGTTTCTCTGGAGAATGCTGACTAATCCACAACATTACCATCACTATACTGAAATTCTGCAAAAAACTTGAGAGATTTAGATGGTGCCAAAAGGGAGGCAGAACCTTCATAACAATAAAGGTGACAGACAGGTACATAGGCAAGTTTCTGCTGTTTGTGGCTGAGAAAGTAACGCACAGAGAATTGTTTCCAACACACGCTGTTTTTTAGTGCCTTTCAATCTAATCTGACTTGCAGCTTTGGGGGTTACTTGGCTTTCATCAATGCGCCCCTGTATAGCTGAGGACTCTTTCTACATGGAATGAGCTGAGTTGCATGGCAAGGAAAGAGGCACCCAAGTAACACAGGTTTTTAACAGAGAGATGTTTACATCTTCTGACCCTGGCACTAAATCATGTTAAAAGCAGGAAGTCAGGCCCTCCTTGGTGGCGCAGCGGGTTTAAGCACAGCACTATGAAGCTAAAGCCACTTTAGTACGAGTTTGAGTCCTAGCTAGCTGGGGTGGTGACCCACAAGGCACAGCAGACCTCTCCTGACCTGCCCACTGCTCCCCTCAGAAGTTTACTTTGTTGATCTGCCTATTCTACTCCCCACTCTGTCTCTGGTGAATCCTCTCACCGCCTCTGCACCTCTAGCCTGTACCCCAATTCTGTGTGCATAAATAAATAAACCTTTAAAAAAGAAAGGCAGGAATTTTGCAGCAACATGGATGGAGCTGGAAGGGATCATGCTTAGTGAAACAAGCCAGAAAGAAAAGAAAAAATACCGAATGATTTCACTCATAGCAGGAGTTAAATGGACCAGGCGAGAAAATAATAATAATGAACAGCTACATACCAGAGACATTTTATGGGGGTGGAGTGGGGAATGGGATCAAAAATGGTGGGCGGGGGGGTGAGGGGAGAGAAATGCACTGGACTACGGTTATAGCACACAGGTGAGTTGATGATGGGAAGTCCCCGGGGATTATGACTGAGATGGAAAAAGGCACAAAATGATGTAAAAATAAACCAATATATTATTTAAAAAAAAAAAAGGCAAGAAAAGTCTTAGTTTAGAGGGATGAAGACCAACTTGGAAACAATTAAAAAGAATTAAATTTTGAGATAACAGGAGAAAGTGAGAAATCCAAGCCTCCTTCACAGTAGCGAGGGATGTGAATCAGGAAAATGCCCTTGGAGTTGTTTTGGCTCCTCAGTAGCAGGAGCCAGCCGTCACTTCTGAGGCCCTTCCTCAGCTGAGGGCTCTTTCCCTGCTGGCTTGGCCTCTCAGGTCTTTTTGCGAAGTAGAATCAGGGCAGTCTTAACCCCCCAGTTCTGACCCCAGTCCTTCCCTGGGCCTCAGAATACTCCACAGGGATGCTTATAAAGGCCAGCTGAGCGGTTGCAGGGGCATTTTGTCTCAAGTATAGAACTTTCTTTAGGGAAGGCCTATGATAATATCCATGTTCTAAACAATTTTACCCCAGAGGAAGCATCCAACTGATAGGTTCTCATTATTTTTAGTATAATCACATTTCTCATCGTGTAAATATTTTCTTCTACTTATCTTAATTGCTTTTCCTTTTTTTTTTTCTGGATAGGGACATGGAGAGAAATTAGTTATACTTCAATTTCTTCTTTAATTAGTTTCAGGCCTCTAAAGTTCACCAATTAGGAGAGGAAATTCAGAACTGCTGGCAGGTCAGCCTCTGGCAATGCTTGAAAAGGCAGGTAAACCCCAAGTCAGCAAGTGGGAAAGGAAATCATTCTCATTTTTTTTAAGTAGTCACATTTCCAAGCAGTATTTAGGACAGTACATCAAGCCCTGAATAGGTAATAAACAATAGGTACTAATAAGTTAAGAGATAAACAGAATGACATTTATCTTCATTTTCAAAACAATTATTTAAAAAATAGCTTCCATTTCACAATCTGTCATCAGTATAAAATAGCATTTTAACAAAGTCACATGAAAGGCCAAGAGCTAGCCTGAATACAAGACTTATTTCTCATTTACCTGTGTTGTGCAGAGATGCAAACCAGTGAATAAAGATTAATTTTCTCTTCATATAAAGGGAAATTTGTTACTCTACTGTTGCCCTTAGAATGTTTGTCATTAACAACCCTCCCTGAGAAAGAGTTATACAAAAGAGAACGTCAAGGTCCCAAAAGACTGTGCAAAAGTTCTAACACTTGGCATTAAGAACTAACCAACCAAAACAAACAACACAGAACAAAAAACACAACAAAACCCTCTAATCAACACCCCCCAGTGGGGTTCCACTATTTGCTCCCTGACATTTGGTTCTGATCAAGACAGGGGTTCAACTTAGCAGGTGTCAGCATTACCTAGAGGACCTGCAGCACCCAGAAGCCCAGAGCACTGAAGTGTGTGTGTGTGTGTGTGTGTGTGGGCTGGGATGGGGTTGGCAAGGGGGTCTCCTGTGGCTTTCCTAAGCTCTCTAGCAAAGGAAATGAGGCTGGTGAGAATCACTGGGGAAGTTTTGAAAAACCACAGTGAATTCCCACACTTCATCCCTGGGCATTATGATTTAGTAGGTTTCAGTTGGGACACAGAAATCTTAAAACATTTTATTTTTAAATTTTTAAATAAATGTCCCAGGTAGCTCCTGATTGCTTTGTTTCAGTCCGTCTCTCTAAGAATGCCAGATCTCTGAGTTCACTAAGAATCTACCTAAAGTTGGGTAGGTTACAAATCACTAACCTGTGAGGATTTAACAAATCAGCCTGTCTAGAAGTGATCTGACACGTAAGTCTTCCTGATTTAGGACTTAAGTTACCTACTGATCTCTGTCTCCTCTCTACCGCAGGTGGGCTTGGCTGCTGGAGCTGGAAAGTGCCAGCCATTCAAATAAGTTGTATCACAGGATTTTGTTCTGATAACCTCTCCCTCTTCTGTTTCGATCCCCAGAGCTGCAAGGAACACATCTATTTTGGGGTACCATCCCAACTGATGCAGCATTTTGCATTCTACATCAAGGTGCTAGCTCAGAAACCTGCAAACCTTACCTTCACCCCAGTGGTATAGAGACTGCAAAAAAAAAAAAAA